GCTATTGACAATCGAGATAGCTCTATTGATACTAGAAATATGTCTGTTGACAATAGAGATATCTCTATCCCTAATAGAGATATCTCTATTGTACGTCCTGTTTTAATAAAGATATCTCAATTATATTTCCGGTTACGCACACTGAGTCAACAGAAAGGTCATTGTAACGTAAGACACAAAGTTTCACTGAACCAGAGGGTTGTGTGAAGTTTTTTATGTAAACAACCTCGGGAGTTCAAGTACAGGGACGCGGATTCAAAACCCCTCAAGATAATAGATTTTTAAATACAAAACGGAGAGGGCGACCTGCTGACCTTGGAAGCGGTAACTTAATAGAGATTTCTCAATTCCGTGAATAAATGTTAGCTTGGCACGTCCATGAAGAGAGATATCTCTATTCCGGGATAAAATGTGAACTTTGCACGCCATGTTACTGCTCTGAATTATTTATTTTCCAGCAGTCAGAAGTCCTATGTGTAATTGAATTTCCATTGAATTAGCTCTTTCACGAAATTTCACGTAATATCTTTCATCAACCCATAACTTGATTTATCCTTGCGCTGGCTATGTAATATGTGAATTCATTTGTGTTTCCAGTTAAAATACAATGAGACTGTTTTCAAGATTCAATTTAATATGTTGTTAACATCTGTAAAAGAACGGTACGAACAAAACCTGTAAAACTCGTAGTGTGTACAGAAAGGTTACCACCCTGTGATGCGCACAGCTCTGACCCTCAAAATTAAGTGAAAGGCTAAAGCTACATTTTGCCATAGTCATGCTGCCAAACTGCCTAGTAATATCACATTTGAAGGTTTGAATGCAAGAGTTTTTTGCAAACATATTACATCTAGTTGATTCCCCGCAAAGAAGGCCGTATCAAAAATACTCGCCTTCGGCTCAAAATTCTGCATGAGTCTATTGTTGTGGCTGCAACCTCTTCGCGTAGAGTCATGCGTAATTTCAAGCCACAGCTAAGTAATTCGGACTCAGCCCAAGATAGGGGTATTGGAAATGGTACCCGATGGAGTGACCAGAGTTTTCCCCGATAATGAAGTTGAGATGAATAGGGGCGATTCACAATAGTGCGCCTCCAAGAGTTTGAAACGCGTTGGCCAATCAGGACATGCCAAATCTGTCGACCCAATGCGTCTTTGGAGAGGGTCGACAGATTTCGAGTGTTGTGATTGGCCAACGCGTTTCAAACTCTTGATCTTGATTCACTATTGTGAATCGCCCGTATTAAGGAGTGGATGGGTTGAAGCAAGATTCATGATAATTAAGGAGCAAGAGATAGAAGAAAATAAAGGCGACACAGCATCTGACCACTCTAACACCAAATTGAAGACGCCAGTGAGTTTCGAAGTACATGTAGTTGGTGAGTCATAAACGGAATGAAATCAAGTTCACCTTGTAGTCTTATTCTTTTCTCATTTTCATTAATATTTTGTAATTGAGGTATATTTGGAATGAACTTTATTTTGATTTCTCTTATTAAATTACAGTACCCATGATCACAGCCCTCTCCATTAAAAGTGAAATGATTTCTCTATTCGTTCAAGGAAAACCAAAAATAAAGTCGACGTGTCTTGTGCTCGTTATAGCTAACACAAAGCTCTGTCGACTTGGGAAGGAATACATCAGGTCCTTTCAACGGGTGCATAACATGCAAGTTTAGAAAGTCTGTAGTTTGATTTCACGTGACGCCGACGTTTGAAATTACACCCCCAAATATTTAACAAATAAAACCAAACACTTGAGTCATTAAGACCGAATTTCAACTTTATCATTCTACAGAAATGATTATATTTACAGTATTATGAAACATACAAAAAAGCGTTGAACACTTGTAAACTCGCATCCTCAAATGACCGTCGTGAACATTTGTGTAGGAAATTTGCAGGCCAGTTGTTTAAACAGTTTGGCAATTGGCTACGAGCAACTTGAGCTTCAAGACGTGAACTAAGAAATAGCCATTAAAATTAACTGTAGGACTGAATGTTATCGAGTGCTTTGCCTCACATTGTTCGACTGTTGAACGATGACATGTAATGGCCTGAAATAAGAATTGTGTATTAACTGCAGTGGATCAGCAGCAACGTTCGAATGCCTCATTTCATTTTTCATTGATCATATTGCAATTCAAATTGGTGTAGTTTACATGTATTAATTCTTGTGGCACATTTTATTGGTGATATTGTTTTCGCTCTGTTTCTGTTCATGCTCTAGTTATAATTACTTTCATTCATTTTTTATAATGTATATTGGATCATAATTTTAGTATTTAATTTACAAGATAAATATGTTGAAACACTTTATATAGACATAATTTTTGGTTATTCAAGTTTCTTGCACAGGTACCCTTTTCGTCACTCATAATTATTAATCATATTGCAGTATCCATAAGACGTTGAGCATAATCTTAAAGATTGTTTTTAAATCCAAAATTTCAATTTTTAATGAAATAATGCTTTACTGTTTTAACGGAAATCATGCTTTAACGAAATTATAGGCTTAATTTTTTCAATCTCACATTATGACTGATAATTAAGCTGCAATTCGGCTTTTTAGCTGTGAACGCTTAATAAATAAACCATGAATAAATGAATGATCATTTCAAATTCTAGTTTCGCGACATTTGGACCTCGCATAATAATGTTTCAAAATTAATATCTAAATGATGTCATGATGACGTCACACAAATATCTCGAACGATTTTATAAATTCTCTTATTTTTTGAAGGAAGCTACGGATTAAAAGATTTAAAAACAAGTAGGGACGAGCGAATTATAGCATTGCCTCTTGTTTTACACAACACACATCCATGTCAGTAAGCAAACTAAATAACTTGTTGAATTGATATTTTATTGAAAATGAAACCTCACGATCCCAAATCTTATATTTTAAATTCATTGTTTTCAAACATCGAGTGGGCTTAGGTTAAACTTACGTGACACAAGATGACGTTACCATGTCCCTGTGTAGGTCTACTTGCAAGAGGAAAAGTAATCTTTTGTATAGACCACAGCAACGATGCATTGCGTCAAAGATCAAACGGGAAAAAATGAATAGATGAGTGAAAACAAATTCTTCATGAAGTCTTCCAATTTGCCTGTTTTCGTTCGTTACGGATGATTAGCTTGAGAGCCCTTTTAACGCGCAGTGAAAGCATTTTACTTACGAAATTCTGCTTCAAGGACAGTGCTAACTGGTTTGGAGGCAAGCTTCTGTTAGTCACTAAATATGATTTTACACACTTCGTCGAGTCCGTGGCAAGATTTTTCTTGCTGGTGTTGAAATTGCAAAGCAGAAAATATTATGACGGCAGTATCACGTGCTCATAATTATCCCTAAGCGGTAAGACCGGTTCGAAAGCTTTAAAAGAAACGACTCTGCTCGGCCATCGCGTCAGATACACGAATCTATGATCAGAGATGGTTTGGGAGTTATCAAACCATTCCTATAGGTCTACTGTTTCAAATATCGGCTTAGGAAACCGGGAGAGTGCTGTTGAAATATTTGCTTAAACCATAAATGCTGAGCAGCGCTTTCTCCCTGTCAGTAAATATTTAAGCCATTTACTGATTCGAAAATTGGCAGGGCCATGTCGCGAGTCCGCATTCCAACGGCGTTCTGCTTGTTACTGACGATAGCATTCTTTTTTGATGAACTACTTGAGTTCCGCGGAGTCGCTCTCGCCGTTCAGCGCGATGTTGCGGGATCACGGCCCGTGTACATCGGGGGCTTCTTCCCCATCGGAACTCATCCGTTCTTTGCGTCACTCCCCTCCACTGTCCAAACGGCAATTGACCACGTCAACAATTTGACGGGAATTCTTGATGGCTATGAGTTGCGGATGAGATGGAACTGGACGCAGGTAAGGGTATACACGATTTTAAATGTTGCAATGGTGATGAAGCTTCGCAAATAGTCGCTATGTTGAAAGAGATTCTCTTTAGCCCGCTGAAATGGAAGAAAATAAAGAGGGGAGGCCGTTCAATATATTAAATTTGCGATTTTTTCCAAGGAAAAATTGGGCTCAAAATGTAGTCTTACTTTAAATCACGCCTATGAAGCAACAGAAGGTCCAATGTTTAGATTAACAGGCCTGAGGTAAAATCGTAACACACAGTTTATTCTTCATGTAGAAGCTTCATAATTGATTCTACCTAATGACTGAAACATGACCAAAGACTTAGAGAGATAGCTAAACAACAGCTCCTCAAAATCATTTGAAGCGATGCCTTGTCTATTTGATAATGCAAGAGCGGGGTTTTTTTTAAGGCCTTTTACCTTCTCATTTTCGAGACGGATTCTACGCCTCGGGATCTCGAGCATTATGTGAGGTTTCAATTACCCGACAACGCATTTAATCTTTTATGGTCATGTCGTTGCTATGGTCATCTTGTGGTTCGAACTCTACAGCATGTCGGTCGGAGCATTGAGCAAAGTTCATGGGGAAAGTTGTCTCTTCGGTCTCGACCTAACCGCCTTGGAAGAAAAGTGATTTCACACGAATGTTACGTCTGGTTTTTATAAAAGTGGTTTTAAAATTATCTCAAAACATTAAAGGTAAAACTCTTAGGTGCTCGGTACGATGAAAAGCCGCTGACATTTCAAGAAACATTCAGCTAGGTGAATTCCACCCCAACACACTTTTAAGGTTAAAGTCTTCCATTCTTTGAGGCTTGTGGGAAGAACTGACGTCAGAGTTTTCAGGACTGCTTGGATAAAATAAATTGTATTCCTATATCTCTTGATATTGTAACACATCATGAAGAATATCCATTCAACGTAATGAGTCCTTCATAAAAACTCTTAATGAAAAATTATAACCGCTGAAATAGAAGTGACCAGCATGCTATTCATACGTTAAATTCGAATTGGGTTTATTTCCCGTTTGTTATTGCATGGAACTCGCTTTCGCTGCTTCGCTGAGGGAGGTAGATCGGCAATCAACCGTACACGTTTGTCCATTACACCGTGCTTCATAATAATCGTGAATGTTTTCTATTCTCTGTAGAGGGGATTTTTTTCCTTCTTTGAATGTTTGTACGCTGTGGATGCTTATTAACCCCCAAGGGTATTTTGTGAACATTCTTGATATCTGAACTTTTTTTTCCAAATATCCCTATATCGACGAACGTATACAACGCTTTACAAATGTAAAGGTAGGTCTATCCGAGGTATCTTCTGCTTTCAAAGGGCACTCTAAACAAGGAGTTTTCAATATACTTCACTCATGCTTTCATGACAAAATTCCAATATTAGGCTATTATTGATGAATGATTATATTTAATTCAGCTGGTATCGATATGCACGCGGCAAACCAGTCATGTTGCGTTTTCTAACAGTTGATCACAGATTAATTCCACTCAGATTGATTTGATGTACGCATTTAGTTGATGTTCCCATCTGTAAAGCTTGATAAACCTTGACTTAAGAATAATCTACGCTCATCATGTCATATCGGTTGTCCATACCAATGTAAAACCCACAGTATGTTTCCTGATATTTCTTATTATGGTGTATTATTTAAAATAAATTCAAGATCGCGACCTAAAGGGCTGAATTGTAGATGATCTTACAAATAACAAGTTGATAACAAGAAATACATTTAGTGATAGGAACTTGTTCAAACCATGAAGACATACAATTAAAAAGGAAAAAATACTAAACATGGATAAACCTAATTAGAATGGAAAGCAGATGCCCGAGCTATTAAATCAATTTAAGTTTGGTAATTTTTCAGCCATTTTTTTTACAATCTCGACAAAGCCAATCATCTTTAGCTGAAAGGAAAAAGAAAATCCAAGTGCATCTTGTACTTTGTACCGTTGTCATCCAGAAGACAAATTAGTAAGCTCTCTTCTGTTCCTAGAGAGATCACTGTCTTGATTAAAGAAGAGCTTGGGTCAGCTACCCGAGCAGACAATACTCCGTTAATCGAATTACACCCCGATATCTTCTTTTCAAGTCGCTGCTGGGCCACCCAAGAACAATTCTCTTCGGAAAGAAATTAGCCTCATGCTATAAAAATACAACATCTAAAAGAATTAGGTATCAAATCTTCCACAGAAATTACTTATATTCCATTTTTAATCTTCGTTTGACGAGAGTGTACCTTAATAATTATTTCCCAAGAAATTTTCTTACCCTTATTAAATAAGTTCGAGCAATTTCATTTTTGTACACCCAGCGGAAGGTTATCTAATGGTGTAACACTAAGTGAACTGCATTATGCGTGTTGTAAGCTTTGATTATTCGGAAAAGAAAAGAAATTTTTATGAAAATTACATGAGCAGATATTTAATAAGTAGGAGCGTGTGCATGATGCGATTATCGACCACCAAATAAACCTAAACCTATTGTTAACAGTATGTCTTTCAGTTTTCTTGCTTTAATTCGAGTCTTTGAACGTACAGGAATTCAAAATTGTTGCTTCATTAATTTTTTTCACTAAAGTTTCCTCCATGAGTTAATAAAGACAGAGTACTTTTACAGAAAATGTACCAACAGGGAAATATTTCACACACTCATTCCAATTGTTTTAACCATTACGTAAGCAGCCGGTATGAAAAACGCATATCGGTCATCGTATTTTTCGAATAACTTTTAGATTTACGTTGAATAAAAATCTTGTAATCCTCAAGCTACTAATATGCTTTAAGACTGCAAAGTCCCTTTCACCTACATTTAACCGTTGTAGAGTACGGACTTTTGCAAGACCAGTATTCCCAGGGGTGCCATATGGCCTCCCCTGCAGTAAGTGGATCTCGTTGTTGACAGACGTGATATGTGCCGACAGGTTACGGCTGTTTGGGTTGTGACTGGTATTACTGTACTTTCACAGCACCAAACGAATTTTAGACAGAGAGGGGAGCTCATGGGTGTATTAGCAACCATAAAACAGTCGTACAGGTTCATTGGGGCACTGAGCTGCAGACATGACCGGGAAATGACCTGCTGGATATAGTTTTTATCCACGTGGATACTCGCTTGAATTGTATGGGCGTGGCTGCTCCCATATTGTCAATTTGGAGCACATGTGGATGGGATATTAAAGCTTTAAATATAATAAATCCGCTTTGTATTATGATTTCCAGGGTAGTCCTGCAAATGCTCTCTGGATCTTAAATGATTTCATCCAGAGGGGGCCTCCTGTTACCATGGTGTGGGGGCCACTGTTCTCCACTGTTGCCGTGGTAATGAACGAAGTACTGCCGCGCTATGATATCGTTCAGGTATGTAATCAGCCCGACAAAACATTATCTGCGTTACAGAGATTTGAGGATGCCTTGGTGAAAAGAAAAGTCTATGCTTCATCAAATCAACCCACATGTAACCATATAAAACGGTTTCTGTACATTTAACCATAGTTGTGAAAAACTGCGCCCCGAGCGGAAGTGCACCCCCATTCGGCGAAAAGAATGTCGGGGGTTACAAGCGGGTTCTTTGCACGCGTTCTGCGTGTACGCCAAGACCATACGTGCCGGAATAAATTAGTTACGCATACTCAGCATGCTCCGCGTCAAACGCGCATATACCTGCGCGCCTCAGGACGCGCCTATGCCTTGAATATAAAAAACCACGCCCTCTTTTGTTCCGTTGGGAGCGGATACTGCTGCAATTCCCCTTTAATATTCCCTATTCTGATACCCACCCCAGGTAATTACTGCTTCATCTTCAACTCTCAAAGATCGGTCACGCTACCCCTTGACGGTCCAACTAGCTAATGATGAAGATCTGCTGAATCCAGCTAGAGTGGCATTTATTAAACACATAGGCTGGCGGAAAGTGGCACTCGTTTTCGAGGATAACGTCTACTTCAGACAGGTATCATGAGTGAAATGAAGGAAAATGAAAAAGTGTCCTCCTGAGGTTAAAAGTTTTGCCAGAGGGTCTAGTAGTTGAATAGCCAAGGGGCTTGTTTGTCCAGGTGGCAATGTTTGTTCAAGGGGTTAACAAGTAGAAGGGCTCATTCATCTGGTCATCATGTATTCTAGGAAAGGAATGGTAGTATTTCTTCGTGAGGTAGGTCTATGCGTTTTGTGTTCTTAATTCAGTTTGAGAAGATAAAAATCGAACACGAGTACTTTCTACTCTGTTTTGCGTTGTGAGGAGTTCACAAAATCAGTTTCAAGTTAAATTAACTCGATCAAATGCTGTTAAGCTAATGGACAATCAATATTCAGTTGATAACTTAAATACATTGATGCACAGAATACGGCAAACCTGACTATGATGCTTGAAGAGAGCAATATCACTGTACTGACGACAGAAGCAGTGAGAGACGCAGGCCATCCTGAAGAGCAGATACAGAGTTTAAAGGTAAAGAAAGCAGGGTACTAAACAAGCGGTTTCAAGTTGTAGGAATAGACCTATAACATAACATAATGACGTAACGACTTTTGTTTACATGAGCGCTTTCCTATGGTAGGTAGATGGAAATAAATCCATCTAACCCCCATGGGAAAGCTTGCGCGTAAACAAATTTGACGCCACTGTGTTTATGTGGTCCACTGAAACCTTTTTTAAATGTAATGCGATGATGGAAAGTCGTGTCGGGCATTAGTTAATGTTACTGAATGCATGTCGTTGTGGATGGACTTTAGACTGCAGAGCTAGGCCTATTAAATCAATAATCTAATTCACCTCTGAGGACCCAGGAATTGCTCTTCAATGTTTCACGCATGTTAAAATTTGCAACCAAATGCGAATGGCAGTGGCTCTATAGGTTCAGCCAGCAATGTACGTAATGTTGCAATCCTGGCATAATGGCAAAACCGATGAGGTTTGAGTTTTGTTTTGGGTGAAAAATCTAAAGTAACACGGTTTTTTTGCATGTTTTTTACAGAGACACGATGCCAGAATTATCATTGCGAGTTTTTATCCTGAACCAGCTGCCAAGTTCTTTTGTAAGGTAAACGTAAGATAATGAATTGAAATCACTCTCAAAAGGAAACAAAAAACAATGCTTAAAATTTGCACGCGCACGCAATAACCTCAACCAAGTTGTCTGCACTCTGCTTTCATTGGTATACTTGATGCTTTTGCTGTCTGATCTGAGGTTGTCGAAAAGCCCTCCCTCAACTAGCTACCTTGAATGTACAGTAATGACATCACTGGGTACTATAAATATTCATGTCTTGCAAAAACAACAGAAAAATCAAGAGCAGCCACATTCTGTGGATGAAACCAAAACCTTAACATTCAATACATATGTATTGAAATATTTCTCACGTTAAAAGCTCAAAATTGGTCGGACCGGTTAATCAAGTATTCAAGCCCAGTCATCTACCTAGTCAGATAACCACTTCGGTACGCTGTTTTCTCTGCAAGCCAGCCATTCACAACAAACCTGTCACTTCGGCAAATCTAATGAGCGCCACTGTTCTTAAAATGTAATCTAAATTTAATTAAATAAGTTCAGTATTTTGTCTTTTTTCTTCTGTAGATCCACGAAGCCCATCTTTTTGACGCCAAATACGTGTGGATATTGCCAGGTTGGTACCCTGCCGGATGGTGGCAAGATGTACCTGGAGTATCATGCTCAAATGATGAAATGGCCAGCGTACTGGATTTGCACCTGGGATTTTCTGCGAGTGATACCGTGAGTGACGTGTCATTGATCGATTTCAACGGCGTGGTGAGTCCCAAACATTTTGAGCTGTAACATAGGCATAAACTCACACCGATTTCCTACCAAATCTTTTTAGACTCAAACAATCTGTGCATTTTATTGAAGACCGTGGACAACAATTGGTAATAAAAACTAAGATTTTTTTCAAGGCAAAACTTCTCATATTGGTAAGGGCACTGCATTCTCCAATCTATTTGCCACCAAATGCAGTAATGGTCCGATCAAGTCAGCACTGTGCTGGCCAAATTTACACCATGCCGGCCAAATCGACACCGTGCCCGTCAAACTTTTGCCACATCAGCAAAATAGACATTCCTACTGCCAAAACAGCACTTTGCCAACTAAATCGAAACCCTGCCGGTCCAACCAACACTTTGCCAGTCAAATCAGTTCTACGACCAAACAGCACTCTATCGGTGATAGCCTCAGATATACACTTACTAGCCATTCAAGCACTAAGCGAACGAAGCTGTCATGCCGGCCAACTCGTTATTGTTTCATTTAAATTGTCTTTAAATCAGTCACGTCGGTAAACCTAGATACAAACTTAGTAAAAAGTGCATATTTTAAATGTCACAAGTGTTGGCTCTATTTGTTTACGATTACCAGAAGCCCTACTCTGAGCAACTGGACTTCCTGCAGCGCCTTCACGCGATGGAAGACAATGGACGAGACACCTATTCCTACGACTGCTTGTTCGCCATCGCATTGGCACTAAACGCCTCTATAGCTGATCTTGAGCAACTAACACCGCCAAAAGGACTGGACGAGTTTAGTTATGGAGACACTGACATGGCGGCAATCCTACTGAGGAAGACACTAAAGACAAACTTCATTGGGCTTACCGTAAGATCATGACTTTACAAATCAGTGGTTGGAACGTCAGAAATCAATATCATCTTTGGGTTATTGTTACAGAGGGAATGCGTAACATACTCCTTCAAGTTAACATCCATAGTCGGTAGCAATGAGAAATCTGTAACTGCTTATTGGTAACAGCTGAAAGGAGCCATAATTATGCTAGTTTTTATTTATTCGTTCAATTAAATCTGATTGTTTAGCCCCTAAGTAAACTGTTTCATTTGATCTGCTCACTCCAGGGTCATGTAGTGATCAGTAAGGAGGGATATCGTAACAGCACTGTCCAAGTGGACCAATTTCAAGGTTTGCAGTCTTCGTCTTCCATGAAAAGTAATACATGACTCGATATACACCCATCCTCCCCATAAATTATAAACTAAGATTAGAATTTACTTGTTCAAATATATGTCCTCTTTCCCTGATAACAATGCAGCAGAAGGTTTGTCGATTCGCTACGAGACTGATAAGAATGCATCTCTGCATGGATACGAAATGTTTCCAAGCAACGAGGAGATGAGAACCAGAGCACTTAGACAATCTAGCTGTCTTCCCATGAAATCACCAGTGAATTTACACCCTACTTTCATTTTGTCCCTACTCCATTTATTCAGATGGCACTCTCGTTTGGGTGGGCACACACTCAAGTGACGGCGAATACGTAGAGATTACTAACAGATCCCTTCAGTGGAAAGGTTTGTTGAATCAAGCTTCGTTTAGAAAACCTGGCCAATATTCAAGTGGTTGACTTTGCTTTCAGATCATACACGATTCAGGTTCATACACAGGCAGAAGGAACACTTATGTTTGCAGAACATTATGAACCATGTGGTTAATTTATCCTTTGATATCCATGAAAGTAAAGGGATGCTGGGAGAGAGGAAATGGACAGATTTTTTTTCTTTTTGGACAGGATCATTCATACCAGTTGATGGCAAAACCGAGTTACCACAGGCTGTCCACCTGTCCTCATCGTACGAGATCGTCATCTTCTCCGTGACATCCCTTGGAGCTTTGCTTTCTCTGGTCTTCCTAGCGTTAAATATTGCCTTGCGTAACCAGCGGTATGTAGTAATAATAATAACATCTAGCTAACCATTCCGAGACGCTGAATTATCATTATCCCTGAACATTGGGCTCACACATCATCTGAACATTCCTAAAACCATCTCAGCTTCCTGGGGAGTACACGATTATTACTTTCTTCTAACCCTTTAATCTTAGCTTGACATAAAATCCGGAGGTATTATTTCGTCTCTTTGTTCCACTTAACATTTGAAATCTTCATTCGGGGTTATCTCTCTTGTTAGATTCGCTTTCTTCGACCTGATGGTGTTACGCAATAGATGATAACTTCTACCCTTACGACCTACGACCCGATAGAAATCTGACTCGTGCAAAACAGTTTTGTAACTGATCGACCATTATTTGACAATAATTAATGACATAAATGTAGTGTGTTCATGGTTTAAATCCCAAATTTTACTCGCATATTTCTGAACAGTACTTTTCTTCTCTTTCTACAAAGCGCCATCAAAATTTCCAGTCCTTCGATCAACAGTCTAATTGCCTTGGGATGTCTTCTTCTTTACTCATCCGTCTTCGTTTCTGGGCTGAACAGAGCCGACTTTTCAGATACAGCGTTTACCATCCTTTGCTTCGTAAGTTGAAAATATCATTCTCTCACAACGAACTCTTTAAAACATGCGCATTGTTTGGCACCTATGACCCAGACGGTAATGGTTTCTACATCTAGGTCGACGTGTGGCTGATTTGCGTGGGAATTTCTTTCTCATTTGGATCGCTGCTGGTCAAAACTTACCGCATCTTTGCCATCTTCGAGAGGGCAGTGGCACGGTTCAAGAAAATCGTAAGTCATGACAGAGCGGTAAAATAGAAAGGTTACGATATCGCAGTGAAAGCGGACATTTCGGTTCACGGTGCGACAAAAGCTTGCTTTTATGTGAGGTTGGAAAAATCTCTGTTTAACTAAGTACAGAGTGAAGAAAGAGCATGAAACTTCCATCGTTAATCAAAAATGAAACTGGTAGAATAAATGTAGGTTGACAAGTGAATTTGTCCATTTGGTTTTTACGATCAAGTCATTCGGAAAACTTTCTTGTGCAGGACTTGCCGGACAAGAAGCTCATATCTGTGGTAATGCTTCTAGTGCTGGTAGACAGTGTCACCGTTATTTTCTGGGTGACCCTCGGGCAGCCGATGGTCAAGACAATCAACCTGGAACCACGGGTGAGCTATGTCATATTGCCAATCAATCGACAGAATTGAAGTACTTTCATGCAACTCTGGACGTCTTGTTTTATTAAGTGACGCTTTCCTCATTTCTCTTCCTCAAGCTTTCGGACACTATAAGCCCAGAGAAAGAGATTTACATCCTGCCAGTGCTGCGACAATGCAGTTCCGTCCATGAGGTCTATTTTACCGCTGCCATCTATGGGTTCAAAGGGATCCTTCTCGTTTTGGGTCTCTTCCTGTCTTGGGAAATAAGAAACGTTAGCATCAAAGGGCTCAACGACAGTAAGTTGTCTTCAGTCATGACTTAACTTAGTTTGTTTAAATTCAATTATTTATAATTTCAATGTTTACAATTTAACTGTTTCATTTCACAGTTACGTGACAATTGGTAAAATGCTAACAATAGGGACATGAAGATTACAACTACTCTCATTCAATATAATGGTGGAGGAGAAAAAAAAGGATGCCCAAGGGGGTAGCAATGACGTCATTCAATTGTGTCGGTAACCATGAGTCATGTGACAATTCAAGACTATATGACAAGTATTATAGTACCATTATTGACGATGGAGCCGATTTGAAGTGACCTCGTGAGTGAAGAAATCAAAGTGATGAGACAGCGAAGACTGAAGCAAAGTTGAACGTTGATGATGACATTAACAGTGATGGGATCCTCTGTCCTCAGGTAAATACATCGCTCTGTCCATCTACGTGGTTACAATCACCATTGTACTCACAGTACCTACCCTACAAGTCTTCGTTTACAATGCTGATATGCATTTCTGCATCTTCAGTACAGCCATCATCTTGGCCAATACCGCTGTGCTGTGTCTGGTTTTCGTACCCAAGGTAAATCATGCCAGATGGAGGTGCTTAGGTCTTAGTTAGAGAGGAGAGTAGAGAGTCGGGTGGAAGGTGTATAAAGTTCTCTCGCTCAGAAATGTAGTGCCAAGTTTGATTTTCTGTAACTCGGATCAAACATCACCAAGCAGAGAAATGTTCTTCATCCGCGACCGTGATGGAGCAAAACTTCTCTTCTTTTCCATCCACAGTCACGATAAAGATTCCTTTTCCTTATTTCCATTCATTGTAATGATGAAGAACCGTTTGGTTATTTCCATCCACTCTCATTATAAAGGATCAAGGCCCCTTGTCCTTGCTTTGAGTGTTGTCTTCTAAATTCCAATGTGAATCAAAAGACTATTCAACTGTAATTCAATCAGTACCTGCCCTGATAGCAGTTGTGCAGAATCGATTCCTCGCACATTGTTGAATTATTGAATTGCAGCTTGCTCTGTGCTACACCTCACGTGGAAATCAACTCAGTACCAGCATCATGGAATCTACGACCGCTGCCAGCGTCGCTTCTGCCAAACAGCAGTCTTTATCTAGCAAGGAGAGAAACCGTCTGATCAATCTCAGACGGAAACTCTGCGAGGTGAATGAAGAACAATTCGCTGAAACTTCACAAATTTGTCATTTTTGCACTGGGGCAGTTTTTACAGGGAAAATGGTTAAACATTTCCCTTCCTTTTGTCTTCAAACTGAATGTTTTATTGTTTCATTTCAGAAAGAGGAGACACTCATCGTCTTGCTGGCGGAGTACCGTGCAGTCATCCAAGGAGATTAGAGAAAGGACTCGGAGGGACCAGAGCACATTAATCCGATGAGACTATCAAATGCCAAATCAAAAATATCCACGATATTCAACGAATCGCATTGATCTTGTGAAGCATAACTTCGGAAAATACATTGTGGTGGAAATAAGACACGCCCGATTCACTGATATGGTACACACGACACGAATTGAGATATCCAAAGGTCTACGCTGAGCTGGAATGAAGAGCGCCACCCTGGGGTTAATGAAGCAGGGAATGACGCGACAATTTCACAGGAAATAGATAGCCACGCAGTTTTTAGAGTTAGATGTTTTACTTCTGGCAACATGCCTTTTGCCAAATAAAAAAATACCTTTAGGTACTTCTATGAGAACACAATTTAAAAACAACAGTATTTTTAAATCTTCAACAAAATGGAAAACATTAGTGACGATGATATCCCCTCTTCCTTACACAATTTTTGCAAAAGACTTGCCCGATTTTGTCGATTTTTAAAAACATCTTTTCCACTTCTGTTTCTTGGAGTAGGCACTTGAATAACCACCACTTTTCATATATAAGCATCATATATAGTTGGACATTTACTGCAAAGTTTATTACATTTTGAATGCACCCACAAGTAACCATGCTTTCATATTTAAAAATCTCCCAAGCCTGCATAACGTACAAATCTTTTTAACTGACTTCGATGCACAATGTACTACCACTTAATTGATAGTCTAATTGGTACCTGACTAAAACAAAGATCCCGGAAACACACCGCTGCTTTCTGTACAAATACAAATTCTATTGTGTTCAGTTATAAAAGGGTGCTCAACCGGCCCCGTTCTCAGAGAGCAGAAGCGCACACTATGCCCAATAATATAAAGTTGCACAGTTCTTTTTGGAAGACGAGGGTACGAAATTACAGCACTTAATGAGGAGATCATGTAAACTAAACAGCGAAGGTTATAAATCGTAATAAATGCACCTTGATGTAAAAATCGTCTTAACCGGAATCTTGTCCAATTCAAGCTGGTATTATATGTAGAGAGAACCGACTGTATATTTTGTACTGAAGTAAGATATCACGGCAAAATGTGACCCTAAAGTTGATATAAGAAGAGGTAAAGGTAACCTCGACAGACTGCCGAGCTATTTTCCACTCCCTGTTAGAGACGAGCGTGGTTTTACAATGCACCAAATCTCTGCCTACGGCAACAAAGTTACCATCTCTCCTAAAAAATCGAATTGTTCCTCATCATGTTCCTCATCATGGCCGTGTCGACGTCTGCCCAGACGGCTAAGATGAAAGATTCAATCTCGCACTCGTTCTGGCCTCTTAGGATGCGGAAATAGCCGTTTTCACCCCACTGGCTCCCCCAGGAATTGGCGCAAAGCTGTAGGGGTAGAAAGACGATAATTGAAAATCGACTTCGTCAAATGCTGAGTGATGAAGCAATTAGATGGTACGACACAAACGGATAATAAAGTAGTTTGAGGAAATATTTTAATTGAGTAGAATGCAGTTTCCTTGTTGCGATGTAGCTTGCCATCCAAGGTGTCAGCTTAGGTGTCAGCTATGAACCAAACGTCACCTGAAAAAGAACTTCAAGGACAGACGACGCCACTAACTCGTTGACTCACCCAGTATGGCATCTGGTTATCCGGGTCGGTACGGTCCATTCCCCAGCCAAGAATTCGAACTGAATGGTACCCCTTCCGTCTAGCTTTGGAGGGTTTCTTCACCAATTTATGCGAGTGTTTGTACACACCTCCGGCATAAGAGTAGAAATCTTCCTTCACTAGCAACGTAGCTGATTGGGAAAGAATACTAGAAACTGTCATGATTTAAAACTCGGTGACGTTGCAAAGGCAAGAGCACAAATTAAGACGTAAAAAAAAAAAAATTATCGTATTTATTTCAGCCACTCATTATTTAATATCAAAAGAGATATTTATCTAAATGATATCAAAATGAAAGTCGAAGACGAATATCTCCTGAAACTGGGGAAAAATGTGAGCACAGCTAACCAATGCAGTTGACGAAAGAGGAAAACATGGACAAGGAAACATGGACAAACATGCAACTCAAGGAACAAGGCGAGAAAAACAAGACAACCCTACCTTGCACGGGTCCATTTCTGAAAATTTCTTCTTTAATGTCTTCTTCCTGTCAATAAGCAGAGAAAGTAGATTTGTTGATTTAAAATTTTATTGAGATCTTTTTATTAACCGTGGATTAGCACAAAATCACATGGACGTGCAAAATGGATGTTTGGAGTCATTGAAGGGCATTTACAAAACGGATGGTGTCGACTTAGTCTTTGGCTTCACTGGTTCCAGTCGGCATCGTTGGAGTCCCCTCAAATGGCTGGAGCCAGCGAAGACTAAGCCTGAGCCACCCGTTTTGTCAATGCCCTAAGAAAGGGGAAGAGAAAGAACAAGTCAATACGGGCGATTCACAACACTGCGCCTCCAATGACCAACGTGCGTTGTGATTGGCCAACGCATTGCAAACTCTTGGAGGCGCACTAGAATGAAACACCCAGTGACAAGGAAACTGTAAATCCAATCAGGCGATATTATTATTTACTTGTTTCATGTTTTTGACATGCTCAATGCATGCAGAAAGTCAATAGGTCGACAAGGAAGACTTGGCTGCCATACCTTTCCCGATATCCTGTATGGAGGGCTCACGTGATACTTTCTGGAAGTGACGTCATCGCTTGGGCAAGGTGACGTTTGATGTCGAGGCAACATGCACGCGTACTTGTTCATTTTGGCAGTCTCGTCCATTCCACTTCGGTAAGGATAGCACTGGTCGGTCACCACGCTAAAATCAGAGTCCAAAACAAAGATGCAAGTGATTACTATTAAAACCCATGTACAGTGCGTTTCATAAATCAACACCAATACGGTTCGCAAATGTGTGAGTTGTACCTAAACCACGCCCACACACAAACCATGCCTACTCATACAGTATAGAGTATCGAAGTGTGACGTCACTCTGAACCATAAAGTGCAGTGCAAACGAATGTAGTACGCGCGCGTGTTGGTTCACGCGCTCATGCCTTTTACACACTAATTGTGCGCGTGACGTATTCACTTCGGTACTCTGTGGCATTGTAATCATTGAAAGACCCACTGGGCACTAGAAGTGCGCGTTGCGTGCACATGTATAACCATTGATCTAATGGAGATCAATCCATGGTAGCGGATCGGTTAAGCAAGCGCCCGGCTTTTCACCCGCGCAAGTTCTTGCACGCGCGCGCAACATACGCAGCTTCGGTTTTGGGCAGCTTATTCAAGACGCTCTACTGGGCCAATGCTGGAACGCGACTCATTTATGAAGACATGGAAGTTTACCCGTATCTACGCATGTAGTTCCAGGCACGGTCCAAGTGGCCGCCGTCACAACCTCTTTGCCCGCGAGAGTTGCAAGACAGAAGATTCTGAGTGGAGAGGGGCGCCCTCATGTGACCCATGGACTGAATGGCAAGGCGGTCCGAAGCAACAGCTATTATGAGAAAAGATAAAATAAACTGAAAAACTTACAGTGGCTGCAACAGCTCGGCAGTTCTTGTGAATCGAATGAAATGCAGCCCTCTACTGTGTGAGATACACTGTTCCTGAAAGCAAAGGTGACTTACCTATAGTCGAGACTGCCCAGGAACTCCCACAATCCCCTTGGTCCATTACGCCCTCTATCCAGTCTGGCCACTTTTGGCGGGAATCAAAATTTTCCGGCAGTTCTGTTGTATGCTCAATGTCGATCTCATTCATAGCGGCAACGTCTCGTGCGGGTTTCAGGGTTCCTAACCGACGCTGAATCCCTTCCTCGAGCGTCAAACCCCACAAGAAACTGTAGTTACTGGCTCGCCAGCTATAAATGTTTTTTTTCGGGGGTTGGGGTGGGGAGGAACGGGAAATAATGGAGAATTCAGACGATTAGGAAACGCTGGTGTTATCTTACATTAATTTACCGATAAGCATTTCCCATTCTTCCCTTCTCAACCACATTCACAGTTAACAATCTGACTACGTGTACATGCCTACCCGCTATTTGCCGAGTTGACTGCGGAGATAATGTCTTCCAGAATGAGGCAAGTGGCATTCTCGCATTGCAACTCGTAACTGCTTGCAGTTAGGAAACAAGTGCTAAAAAAATCAACAACCAAGCAGAAGATCATTACTTTTTTGTGGGCAATAAAAAGGAGTTATTTAATACCACCAGAGAATGTGACAATTCCTCGCAAGTTGAAAAAGAAACCCATAATAGTCAAACCAGTGGAATCAATTACTGACCGTATATACCGTCCTATGACTCAAAGAAATCCTGTAATGATTTTAAAGCTTTCAACAAATTTCCGCACAATATGGTTATAATCGTTTTATACGGCAGCTGAATACAATGTATAAAATTTAAACCTTCAGTATAAAATATTTATTATCTCATAAAATCTTGTAGTTTTATTTCCAGCAAAAATGTGAAACGCACATAACCCAGAAGATAAAAACAGCCTCGGAACAAAAGGCACCTATTGCCTTGTCAAACGGGAAACAACATAAACAACCGAAGAAAAAGCCTTGACATGGAAATGGGAATTTTTCATGCATTACTATTCAAATAAATGGGGGCGAAAAACATAAAAGTAAAGTATGCAATATTTACTATGAACATTCTTCACAAATACATGAGCAGAAATGTGTGCCGCGTCAGTGAACTTTAACCACACTTATTCATGTGTTTAAGGCTTCATTCTGCGGCATGCACTGTTCTGTTTACGCCACAAAACGATTGTTTAAAAGTTTGATCGGTAAAGGTCAATGTATACTCCATACTGCGCAAACACCCTTGGAGGGTTGTAAACGCGCAGGCATATAAGCTACTTACCATGTGTTGCAATTGACTCGTAGCGTTTGCCCAGCTAAGTAAGTTGTGCCTTTATAAACACAACCGCCTGTGTATGAAATAATAAATCACACTGCATTATAAAATGTTCAGCCAAGTTGGATGCCGTGAATGGTCTAACAAAGAAGAGTTTCTTTTACTACGCCAAAGACTAAAATTAATAACAATTAAGTTTAACGAAGGAACTCCTAACGAGAATAAAAACGAATTTGTGTGGAAACTTAAAATATAAAAAGGTCAAATACAAATTTGCAATTAAAATACAACCCCAATATAACACAACAAAATAATACGCAATGATTAGGTTATAAATGAAAGAAATTGTGCGTAGACAATAGTGCCAGAGTATTCGTGTATGCGGATTCACCTTCGAGGGGGTTTGGGCTGAGCGGAGACTTCTTAGTTGGCAGAGCCGTGCAGTTGTTGAAGACATCTGGACAGCAATCAGGCGCCTTCGACCGGAGACAGAACTCATCACAGTAACAGAACGTGTCTGCCATGGCGGCCGTGCATGTATCATCTCGACCGGGACAACAGCCCCCTGGCCGCTCCGAGCAGTACTGAGCCCAAGTTGGTAGGATCACCACCGCCAGGACGCAACCGATTATTCCCTTCATGCTGATCACTGCAGCTTCACACTGTTGAATATTTGACACAATAATCATCGACCGATTTTCCAAACAATCCTAAGAGAACATGGACGGAATTCATATTTAATCTCAAGTTAAACTCTTTCTGGTAGAGATCGAGCAAAAGGAACGGTTGCAAAAGAACTCGATCATATTCCACCTTTAAAACGAGGAGATAATTGCAAAACGAGTAGATAATTGCAAAACGAGGTACCAAGGTTCAGCCGGAATCTACTGCCCTGCAAGCAGATTCTAACTGTTGTAACATCTAGGTCAACAAACAAACATGTATTAATAAAATCTCAGCATGTATCTAATGGAACTCATGCAAATATGAGCTTGCCTTGGCCACGATTCACGAACCCTTTTTAGATTACGAATTCCAGAAAGAGGCATGGGTTTTGTTAATATATAAATAGGCACTCCAGTCCCGACAACGATGGATAGTATAATTATATAAGGCTAAATAGGAATAAACAATATCATAAGCGGAAAAAATATGTGTCCGTAGAAACTCGTCGTGACTTTCTTATTAAAGCCTGATGTAGCTACTTACCGTTTTCGACAGTGACCAGTACCGCCTGTGACTCAACGCCTACTAACTGCTGCTCTGTTTGTTAGCCTCGTTATATAGACTAGACCCAGGAACCAATGCGGTGTTACTTTACGTCACGTATTTCTTCCTTTCATCATTTAGTTTTTTGGCGTTGTCAAATAATGACGAACGACCGAAATGCGACGCGACTCCATCTCGCCCACGGACTCTGGCAAAGCATTTCCGGGTGAGCGCCGTTGACGGTCATTAGCTCATACATGTATATCACGGCCGCCCAAGGACTCCGATGATCTGATTCACTTGGGAAATTTTCCCGGTATGATGTGATGATGCTTGTACGAAAAATGGGGAGGATAAAAGGGGGTTAAAGGGGCTGAGCCCTACCAACAAAATCAGCACTACGCCACCTTGCCACAAGTTTAAAAGCAAGACAAAAGATTTAAGGAGAGGTAACGTAGCCACATGTGACCTGGACTTTAATAGGAGATTTACAGCAACAGATGTCATAAGATGAAATTATGGGTGACAGTTGTTCTCGCCATAAATAGTTTGAGATGGAAAGGGCTGCTAAAATATTTTTCTTAGGACTTAAAGAGATTTCAAACTGCAGAGAGTGAAATGAAATGGAAGAGATGACGCCTTCCTTTTGCTGTCTGTTACCAGATACGGACAGCTAAGGCCAATCACATTTGCCCTTAGAATGGTCACGTGTGCTCTTAATGGAGGTATTTCCTCGAACTACAGCCGCGGTAATGGCCAACGCAATTGTTGAAATTCAACTCCTAAAAAACTGTTTTCGCAACTACATTCATAGCATTAACAAAAACAGCAATGGAAACTCGAAGGAGTTACAGGACAATCCACAAACCTAAAAACTCAGGTACTCTGTCCGTTTATATTCTTAAAATGAGGGGCATGCTCAATGATGGTCAAAACAGACTAAGTGAACACAAAATTAGTGGTGCGCCTTTGATTTTATTTTCTTATATACTCGTTAATATCCAAAGAAAAAAACCTATCCATATTAATGTACATTCAAGAATCCATGTACATGTAGTTGAAGATTCCTGTCATGCCCATGTGCGTGCCTGGTGCCCCGCGCATGTGGCCTCGAGTGACAAAGAAGACTGCTTGTCGGAATTCCGCGTCTAAAATGTCTCTATAAATGGATCGGGCTGTTTTTATAAATGTTTTTCATAAACACCGCTGGTGTGAAATTGTAGACGAGTCAAACTGTTGTCTGTATCAGTGCTTGTGGTGGCCTTGGATCCCTCGGAATTCTCAGCCAATCGTTTGCTTTTGACTAAAAAGTTACACACAGTCACGCACCAACGGAATTACATTCACAAGTGTGGGAAAACAGTTTTTGCCTGACCAGAAATAGAACGTACCTAAAATGAATATCTTCACGAAAACGCCTCACGTGATGAACTGCAGCTGACACCGATGTATCGATAAAACTGTAAACGAATCTATAAAGAAGACCGGTTGTCCGAATGTCACATCTAAAATGTCTCTATATAATTATAAATGACCGAAGCTGCTGATCTGTATCTGTGATATCTGTAACCTGCATTAATCCATAAGCCTGTAACAACATAAATTAGCAATGTGCAATTACTATAGATCACGAATTTATTAGGAATTCGTAATGCTTTTTTAATCTTGCCAACGGCCGTTCGTACGCGAGCCTGCATGTTTTAAGGAGAGTGAATTTACAGCAGTAAAAATACCAGCTGTCAACTTTAAACTCCCACTAAAGTTTATATTTGGGCGATCTGTGAGTAATCCATTTCAGCATCGCTCAAACATTCCTACTCCAAAGAACCTTACATTATCCATACCATTGTGGAAAGTTAAACTCTTCCATTACCCCAGGGGACGACTCATGACCCCTTTCAATTCTCTTTCATACCCCTGGGGCACTTTTCCGGCTGGTTTTTAGTCCTCACCTCCCCCTCAAACAAAACTCCGACACAAACACCGCATCACAAAACGGATTTGCACAACCGGTACGTGCCAAAACACACATTGAAACTTTGCAACACTTACAAATAAGCCTGCCAAAAGTCACAGAAAATTCCAGCTCACTTGAAAAGGATAACACAATCATTTTAACTTTGGGCTATTGTGTACATCAGACTGCAGTTGGAATTTGCTAGTAAAACCTGGGGGGGGGGAACACAGATAGTAGAGTTAAAAAACGGGTAGGTACCATACATGTACTGCTCTCGTTGAGTCAGTATGGCACGCCGGCCAACTTAAACCCTGTACGATTTAAGGACTAAAATAGTTGCAAATAATATGCCAAACAATAGACTGTTTGTACATGAAACGACTCAACATTACAAATCCTAATTTCTTTTTAAAGTTTTGTTACCCTAATTGCAAATCTTCAGCAAGTTGAGTTGTGTCAATCTAGTCTCACGTTTATGTAAATCCTAATGGAGCTGAAGCCTCTGCCGCCTGCGGATCCTACTTTCTTTCCTGTGGTTTCAGAAAGTGTGTGTGGGGGGGGAGGGGAAAGCACGGCTTAAATTTGGAAGGGGACTTTAAACTGTAGTTTCGTTGTCAGGGCTCTTTTTTGTTTGTTGGAGAATTTGAAGACTTTTTAAAGAAAAAAGTAAAGGAAAACTTAGTTTTGGCAAGTCTTTTTTCCATTCATTCGGCGTCTTTATCTGATCCGAATTAATTTCGAAACAGATCGACAAGGTGAGAACGAAAACAGTTGACGTGAAAGAAATTGGGTGTCAGGCAAAAAGTCGTGACAAGGAAGACAAAAAGGATTATGAAATAGGAGACAGATTCCAAACATGATATGACTGCATCAAGTAATCGTTTGCAGCTGAGGCCTAGGTAGCGTTGGCCTCAGTATGAGGCTAGTATTGTTATTTGGTTCCTATGAAACAAGCGATTCATCAAAGTCGACTCTCACTACTAACATTACGTGAGATGCTGGGAACTGGACCCCGGTGTTACATAGTGAGGGTTTTCTGGGCCAGTTCAAGTCTGAGGAAATACTAGATCCAGCAGTTCGATGTCCGGAACCAAATTGGCGGGATATTACCAGACGATCTGATAAACTTTCATGAAACCTCGAGATGTCAGCTTGATTGGCTTAAGATAAGCAAGCAGAAGTCTAGACAAAATACAAGGAGAATGAATAGAGCTTCTACGCGCATATGTGCCGATTCAATTTAGTTTCAGTTTATTTGGGAAAGGATACAATAATGAACAAACAAGGAACCAGACATGTGAAAGAAGAAGCCTAGATCGACTAGGGTACGTGCCATATCGTGTAGGCTTTTACAATCACATGACCTAAATTCACACCACTTGATAACATCACAACTGACACACATCACTTTCTTCACATCAAGGGGCTGCTCTCTGCACGTGTGAGATGAGAGGACGCATACTGGCTTAATCCCAAGCGCACTTTAAAGCCATGATCACGCGCAAACACTCATGCGCTATGGGAAACTAGCGCTGAACCAAATCAAACAATGTTAACCGCAGGAAAGTTCATTACAACATCGAGAAGATTTACGAGCGAAACACGTCGCGGCAGACCTTTTATGGCACCCAAGCAATCTGTCAATGGCTTAATATTATTCAGTCGAAATCTTACCTCACACTCGGTCACTAGGGCAGTAATACAGGACGTGACGGGGTGCATTTTCCCTTATCCATTCTAGTACATGTATAGACCCCACGCAAGCATGTCCAAAACTTTCCAAAGGGTCATATTTTATGTTAGCTGTGGATTACACTCTCCCACGAACTGCTGCCCCGTAGCAGCTGGTGGACGCCAAAAACAAAACTCAGCTGTGATTGCTGACAATCTGGAATGAATTCAGCAGGCAGAGTAGGCGCAGGTTTACAAAGAGTTGCTCGCAGAAATTTCAAGAAGCCCTCAAGTTTTCCCGTTCATTTCAAGTTTTGTTAACATTTTTATAACTTATTAAAAGAAATAATGAAAACATGATCAGTTGAAGCCGGTTAAACCTTTCAGTGCACTTAAAAAAACCTTTCGCAATTTCAAATGCAGATGTGTCACCAAGTGAAACACAAACGTTTTCGAAATTCGAATCGTATTTTCTCTGAGCCTGAAACCCACAGGAAATGACAGTACCACATCCACATTATGTTGAATTACATTCGAAGTATTTCAAAATCGTGGGAAAACCGTCCGGATTCGAAGGAAGTTATTGCACACCAGTCACGTCCACTGTGGTAGACCCAACACTCTATGATATCGCTATAATTGCTTCACCAGATACAGGTCTCCCTGGGTCGTCCAGGGTTAACTAAGAGATGAAGACGGGTCTTCTTTCACTTCCAGTCGGGGGGGAGGGAACGAGGAAATGACAGTCTCGTGTCAGATACCAACTTCACGATAAAGCATCAAATGCCGTGCGTCAACAACAAAAAAGGTATGCTCTGGAGAAAACATTTGCAATGAGAATCTTCTGTACCATCATCCATGAGTCCAGTTTTTTTCTCGCAAAGAATATAAAACACCAACGACTATAATCGTATAACGAGTAACCTGCTTTTTTTTAACCATTCTGAAACACACAACTCTGATTGAAAAGTTTGAATCACCCATTGTGCTTTCAAGACACAAAGTATCCCAACCTATATTAAGCCAGTTTATTTTTCAAGAATTTTTTTTAAAAATTGTTTATATAAATGTCAATGTTTCAAATAGTTAGTGTGCTAATGTCAAGAATATCTTTAATCACTGACCAGGTGCCTGTGATAATTGTACCCAGAATAATTCGTATTTCCTTCGGCAAGTAACAACAATTTGCCGTCACGAGTGCCCTTGATACGGGACAGTGGAATGACAGCTAACCTTTCGTGACACAAGGCAAGTACAAGTTTTTCTCCATCCCCAACCTAGCAGGTGGAAAGTACATGTACTTGTACACCGCTCTTCTACAGATCATTTGACAAGTTTGGGGGCGAACCATAGTTCTATAACTGGTCAGCTGCTTTTTAACAATGCACAGCGTCAATACAGATGCACCCAAACGATCTTGGTCAAATTATTTTGTCACATCTCATGATCATTCACATCTTGTCATTGGCCGTTACTCTTGCACTGGTCGTGGTCAATCATTTCTTGTAGTAATAATATTAATATGAATGGTTCCCTCCGTGCTGATAAATTAAATAGGCTACTGATGGTCAACCATAAGACTATGCCCTAGAGGCCCGGTTTCAAATGGTTGATCAGATGGTCCAACTATGCAATGTTTGGGTAACGCTGCTGAAACTACAGTTATCACCAATGTTAAGTCATTGATCTGTCCAATTTACAAAGCCTAAATGGAACTGTATCTTATGAGATCATTGCTGTAAATGTTAACACTTTAGCAACGAGTTGGCTCATAAGGAAACACCTTTTCCTGGTGAGGTCTACAATCTAGCCCGAAAATTTAAAAAAAAAAAGAAAATGCATTTTTAGCTGTTTACTGAAATGGAGTTTACTGGATCCTCAAAGAGTGAAATTCCACAATCATAATTAGAAGCCATGACTGCGATGGCACAACACTTGTGTACAGGTGGTAAGCATGCGTTACATGCCTCTTCAACCAATAGGATGTTGTGATTTGCCAAATGCATGTGCGTGTCAAGCTGAGGAATGTGCGTGCAAGTCTGGTGCCACCGCAGTTATGACATCTACTTGATTAGATGATACATACCAGAAGGGGGCTCTTAATGAATACGTACCGTTTCCTGACTGGCCTCCATCTTACACAGCAGAACAGTGGCAAATGAATTTGGACTGTCTCCATGACTGGTGCTCAGGTGTTCCATGTACAGGTATTGCTTGCAGTTACCTGCGAAGCCTTGCGAGTTGTGTGTGATTTCCCGTGACGTATGAGGAAACCTCTACGCTTCATAGCTTTGCTTCAAATGGCACAAAGAAAGCATTTACTGTCACTGTGAACAATGTTGTGCAGTAGAGTCTCTAATGGAAGTGTGTTGCTTCCTGGTCCTTGGGTATTATCGGGATTGTCTCTCCTTGAGATAAAAACTTTGATGTACATCTAGATTCTCCCGTCTCAGTAAAAGCAGCATTGGATATCACACACAGAAACCAATCTCTCGTTTCCGTCTTCTCTTGAAGACTGTTCAAGTTCAAGATCTTCTGCTGAGATTTTATCTTCACTAATTGTACTGCTTCAAGCTCTTTGTCACATGACGTTTTCTGTTGTGCAGTGAATGGTATCACACTGACAGTCACATTGGCCATGTGTGTCACCACTACAGGTCACTTCCACACAATGGGAGACCCATAGGACAAGGTTGCCATCCATGTCACAGACATTTGACTCATCTACATGTACATGTATAGTGCTTGCAGCAGTAGGCCTAAGCACAGTCACAAGCAAATCTTTGCAAGGCCAGCACTATCTACGCTTTCAGCTGACTGATGATAACGAATTAGAACATCCTTGTTAGTCACTGGTTTCATTTGACCAGTCTATTTATTGTTGAAGGCGTCAATGTCTAACATATCTCTCTGAAGTTGTACGCACTAGTTAGTGATGTACCTGCCTCGTAAATTGAGGGGCAATCGGTAAAACCTGTAGAATTGAAAAGAAAACAATCAGATGCCATCTTTACTCAGAGGAAAAACAATACAACATGCTGTGTGGAAGTGTAATATAAAATTGGTGGACTACAGCACATGCAGGAAAAATACTCTAATTTGCTTTCACACCTAACGTCAACTTGCCTAATAGTATATTTGTTACAATGCACATTTTTACTAGCCAGGCTAATGTCTTCAACAGTCAATTTCACATTTTCTAGCAAAGTCCTACCAAGCATGACTAAAGCGAGTAGGCCTAGGCTGCTAGGCATACTGATCAAATCCAAAAGACTTCTCAAGGTTGCAAAGGAAATTCTGGACTGAAGTAATTGTGATACATACTTTGTAAGAAGTAAGAAAAAATGGTGACACAAAAGTGTAACTTGTTAGTGTATTTAGATGTGGAAAAATAAAAACATTATGCGTACTCTACTAAAGGTAACGTTCATTATGTTGTGAGGTGAAATTATTAGATTTATTGCATCAATGGCTTGTCTTCAAAGTTCAGAATAAAGATGCCCATGAGTCTCCATTATGCATTTAAAAACACTGGGGATTGCGAATTTGGGGATCCCCTCAAGTTTTTGTCATTTTAATTTGTGCAAAATTGGTCATTCCCCCCCCCCTTAAAAAAAAAAACCTGAGGCAATGCTGTCTGAATTGCCCTGACCCTGTTTTTTTAGGGGTAATTTCAAATAGTAAATTGTGAGAAAATGTGACTTTCCTACTGATAAACCAGCCATGCAAATTTGACTCCACCATCATGACATGTGTCATGTGTTAAAATACCCCCAGTTTCCCCTCATAATTTCCCTCAAAATTCAAAAAGAATGCCCTGTTTTCACAACATCAACCCTACAGTTGAGCATGATGTCACCATGGTCAAAGTCATCTACCATGTCGTTAGTACACGCGCGCTAGGGGCCAAGGAACAAAAACAAATAAAATGTAGGCATCCCTTCTGTTATAGGAACAGGATCCCCAAATTCACAATCCCAAAAACATTCTCCAGGGGTCTTACCTCTTGGTCTGATTCGATGGAAGTACTTAACCACTATTATCAGCGCAGAAAGCGTGAAAATCTATGCATTTTGGCAACTACATCGTGCCATGCACTCATCATGTACATGTACTTGGATACTGGCGCCATTGTCTGAAAGAGCGCCACCAAGAGTTGTAGCAATGTAATGTTAATGCATCTTCATCCTCACGTCCGCAAGAATTCAATGTAGAAAGACACCCGTTCTTAGCTTTTTCAAATTAGTTCAAACTTATACAGTCGCAAAAATAAAAAAAAACTGCTTGTCACTATCAGGAGAGATAAAATTTGCAACCCTGTGTTCCTATTTTCGGAATTGCTCAACTTCGCTGCATGGAAATTCCAAGTGAAGATTTCAACTTCGAAATATCTAAAAGCTCAGGAATTCATACCGTTTATTTTGTGATTTTTCACAACACGTTATCATGTTATATACAAAAATTAAGTCAAACCATCCACCTAGGGCACGACATAAACAAAGCAGTGTCAAAAAGTTACCATTTGGAGAAAAAAATGTACATTTACTAAAGAAAGTCAAAATTAGCGATTCAATTACACAAATTAAAAAAAATGTACATGTATTGGGTGATCTAAAGATTCACCACAGTAAAGTTTGCCTGCTATTTAAGACTATTGTAGTTATCGAGTAAGACAAGCAGTTTTGGAAGAGTTTAGGTCAAACTTTGGGAAGAATTTCATCGGTGTCGTATTCGTATCTAGCCATACACTGACCCAGCATGCGCGCGCTTTGTTTCCGAAAGACCTTGACGCTCTGAGACATACATACCGAACCGGCTCATGAACTCCACATAATTAATGTCTTGAATTCCATTAAATCGATTATTTGCATTGCCAAATCTTTTTGTTTACTCTGAAGAGCAGTCATAACACGTACACGCTATGCTGCATATCTGACCAAATCAGTGATTAATGACTTAGTCAGCGAGACTATGTCAGCGATGATCACTCGCCTTCAGGGGTCTGTAGATAATGTTGCATCGCTCAATCAATAATGTTGTTCCAATGCATTTTGCATTCCGCACCTGACAGTGGGTGGTCCTGTGTTCTTCAAGTTATTGCTATAGTGTTCACGTTAAGCCCATGCAATATTAATAACTACTGAGGCCCTATTGCTCGTAATTTTTTCTTTATTCTGAACAGGTTCACAGACTAAATAATCTTTTTTCCGTTACGTAAACAGTATCAATAATTAATTACAAAATATACTACATGTATACTGCGGGAATAATGTGAATAAATGATTATAAAATTATAAAATTGCTAAAATATCTTCAAAGTTCAATCACCACTCATACATTGTTTTATTTTACACAAGCACCTTTGATTTCTTGACTGAAATAGCACACTCGTGACGCATAAACTTCCAGTTCTATAAACGTTTTGACGTTTCTCAACGCAGGCCCCTCAATGCGTGTAACATAGCTGTCGGTAACAAATTCGGTCGCAGTGAAAAACGACTGGAAAAAGTTCACTTGCAAAAAGGACGTCCGCCACACGAAAAAAGCGGCTTGATTTAAGACTAAGACCGAAACCAAACAGTATATTGTTTTGATGGTAGGTTCCATGCTGCTGTCCTCATTCTCAGCCTTGCATCATGTCCATGTCAACGTTGCCCCAAACGCCTAGAACGAAAGATTCAATCTCGCACTCGTTCTGGCCTCTTAGAACGCGGAAATAGCCGTTCTCACCCCACTGGCTTCCCCAGGAATTGGCGCAAAGCTGAAGACAAAATCAAAGAACGAAATTGTTTTCCTTGCCTTGATAGCTGTAGTATAAAGACGAAGTAAGTCCTGAACAAATTCGAACATCTATTATGGTATTGCTTGATCTTGTTGTGTCAGTAACCAGCCAGTTGTTTTAACTTGAGGTTGTTCCAGACTTCATGGCAAAATAAGTGAAGACGCAAGTTGCGAGGAAGATTAAAAAGGATTAGACATTTTATTTTAATAAACGATGTGGAAATATGTTTAACAAATACAAAATGTTTCGCCATTCCATCGCAAGCTGGTGATACAAGCAGGACTGAGTGAGTCTACCTACCCAGTATGGTCTGGGCTTCTCTGGGTCAGTACGGTCCACTCCCCAGCCTAAAACTCGAACTGAATGGTACCCCTTCCGTCTACGTTTGGAGGATTTCTTCACCGATTGACGCGTGTATTTATAAACACCTCCAGCATAGGAGTAGAAATCTTCCTTCACTAGCAACGTAGCTGACAAAAAATAACGAGGAATATGTAAATTATATCGATAAGTTTAAAAAATGGATAATGCCAAAGATCAGCTGAGAAGTGAAGTGACAGCTGCCACGTTATAAAAAGAGGTTATTATGCAGGCATAACAGGAGGGCGCTGTTTGGTTTGCAATAAAATGTAAAGGCCGAGTTCGGGCGGCTTGTTCTCGTATGTTCACGAACAGCTCGATTTTTTGTTTATGGGTCGTCCGCTCGAACGCTGGGGACGTACAACCGGTTATCGCTACTAGTTGTCTGTAGCAAGCAACATGCAACATGGCGGCGTCCATGTGCATTCTTCGAGAGTTAATGTTTGGATAACTGGGCTAACTTCAGAAAATAATTTCTGTCATGAAAAACGTTGATTTTGCAAAACTTTCTATTGTCTCCAGCTTTTTAAAGCCGTTTCGATAGTTTTACGGCTTTTCATAAATCAAATCTCACGAGTTTGTGTGCGTTCGTGTAAAACCCTGACGAGAATGCGGTGTGTGAACCTGTTCCGAGAACAGTGTTCTTGTGTCGTGTTCCCGCCGTTCGAGCGCAAGAACACGAAAGCCAGGTCGAGAACAGACCGTACGAACTCGACCTTTGTGTTTACTTCAAATTTAACAACTTCAAATCAAGCCCTCTTATTGTGTCCGCCATGCTTCAGAAAGGTTAATCATTGCACTTACAGAAAAAAACCAACCAAATCAGACGCAATTCACAGAAACCTAAATCTTAATACGAAGGTGGTAAAGACAAGCCAAAATCGTAGAAGTATACACTAATAACCAGACCTCAACACAATTAAAAAGCAAGGTATGAAGCTACATGTATTGTGAAAGGAACCCAACATACATTGATAGACATCAAACATTCAGGCTCAATGTTCGATTTTTGCCCTGCCTGACGAGTATTTTTAACACTGTATGCTCAGTGTATGCCCCCGAAAGCTTGTGGAAAAAACACAAGCGTACTCGGGTTGGACTCGAACCCACGACCTCCTGCTTACTAGTTATCAAAACTAATTTACATCTCCTCGGTGCAAATCCATCCCTGCAACAAACATTTAGGCCTAATACATTAAGAATGACATGCAAAACTAAACATGAGGAAAACATAAGGAGAACGGCACGACCAAGAAGCAAATGACATGAACTACCTTGCACGGGTCCGTTTTTAAGTATTTCAGCCATGATGTCTTCCTCCTGGTAAAAAAGGGGGAAAAAACCCAGCAGATACAGCTTAAACAAGAAAGTTCAAGAGGGCTAACTCTAAACCTTTTAAGTTTTGTTTTGGTATTTAATCAGTATAATTCCATCTTTCTTGGTGTGTGATTGACAACACCCCCATAGTAAGTTGTGAACTGTGCAAAGATTAAGCGAAATGGAAAGGATCACATCACACACCTTTCTGGATAGTCTATAAGGTGGGCTGGATTGGTACTTTCCAGAAGTCATCTTATTACTCGGGCACGGTGAACTTTGGTAGCGAGGTAACATACACGCGTATCTCTTCATCTTACTGGCCTCGTCCCTTCCACTTTGGTAGGGGTAACATTGATCTGTGACAATGCTGAAACAAAAACATAATCTTGGAAGAACCCTGCTGTCAATTTGGAGGAGGCGAACAAAGCTTAGAAAAGTTACCCCTCCTGGTTCATTTCATTTTCTCAAATAGGAACGGTGCAAATATTCATCATCTTCATTTCTAAAAAAAAAAAGACTTTGGTATTGAATCGAAAAGTATTAATGTTTACCCAAATCTGCGCAAGTAAAACCAGGCGCGATCAATACGCCCACCGTCACACCCTCGTTGGCCCCTAGTGTTGCAGGACAGAAGATTCTGAGTAGAAAGGGGCGCCCTCATGTGACCCATGGACTGGATGGCGAGGCGATCGGACGCAACAGCTGTCAAGACAATGGAACATTGGTCAACCTAGGAGCCTTTGGACGCTTGGTGTCAGTAAACTTGTTCCTTACTTATCAAACTTAACATCACCACAAAGGACCTGGTTCCCTGCTTCATAAATGACTGCGAGTGGCTCCTGAGAACCAGCTATGCAGACCACGCCCACTACCGCTGGTTCCACATGCCTGGTCGACAAGCTTTCGAATAACTTGTGGTAAAACGATCGCTTGAGATTAGCATTTTGATGTCGGCAAGAAAGTAACGTGTTTTTGTCAAATCGTAAACACTACAAGCTTGAATAATTCTGTTAGACTCTTAAAAATAGTTTTAACAGGCTTCAACGATGAGCAATACCTGTGGTTGAGACTGCCCAGGAACTTCCGCAGTTCCCTTGATCCATTATGCCCTCTATCCAATCGGGCCACTTTTGGCGACAATCGAAATTTTCCGGCAGGTCTGTCGTTTGCTCAATGTCGACCTCAGTCATAGCAGATACAGATCGCCCGGGTTTCAGGGTTCCTAATCGACGCTGAATCCCTTCCTCAAGCGTCATACCCCACAGGAAACTGTAGTTACTGGCTCGCCACCTACCGACGGGAAAAAGGCAGGGAACAGACAGTTTAACAGTTAGAATGAATTCCCATCAGTATAAGCTAGATAAAGAGTTTAAAACAGATTTTAGCGGGATGGTAGGTCTGGCTGATTCAAAAGTTTCCCATCAAAACGTTCCCTATGTTGTGCAAGACAAAAAGAAATTCAGTCACAGAATCTTTAAAGATTCTACCAAATTTCAAACGTTTTTATCTACCCGTTGTCCTCTGCGTTAACATTGTTGATGATCTCCTCCGTGATAAGACAAATATTCTCCTCGCATTCTACTTGATATCCTCCAACCGTAGGCAAACAGGTGCTGCAAGACGAACATAAAAGTCAGTGGAATGAAACAGAATGATAGGAATCTGACAATTATATCTATCGCTATCACAAAAGTGATAAAAGTAAGACGTACTAATGGATACTGCAACAGTGTTGTAACGAGTCACTGAAATTGGTGACTCAGTCGAGTCATTTTAACATTGTGACTCCAGCCGAATCGAGTCATTAGGACAAAAAGTCGAGTCGAGTGAAGTCAGTTTGTGTAAGTACTGAGCTGAGTCAATTTCAGTCGCCAAATCATTGAACAAAATACAATGAAAACACAACTACACGTAAGTCATTTTTTTGGTATTTTATTTTCATTTAGACATACAGAAAATAAACTAGGGTGACAAATATCTGGCCAACTAAAATTTTGCGTTTACTTTTTTGAAACTCGAGTCTTGTACACTTGTACTCGAGTCCAGTCTCCATTCGAGTCATTTGGTCGCAGAGTCTTGAGCCGAGTCACCAAAATGGTGACTCGAGTAGGACTCAACTAGAGTCATTGACTCGAGTCATTACAAATCTGCACTACAATCAGCAGGAGACCGACTAAGACGCTTCTAACCCTTCTCTAATCTCTAGTGACCATCATAACGGCACTTCTTGAGTTTAAGGTTTCAAGGTATCGTATTGATTAGATCTCAAGCTTGAGAACCAAGTTACATAAACACGACAGAAACACATACAAATGGAAGGCAATTCAATCATTGTATTTAATCATCTCACAATATACGTACCAAGCATTACAGTTGACTTTAATGGAATCTCCAGCAAACAAATTCCTGCCTTGATAGGTGCAGTCAGCTTTTAATTACAAACATTTGGGATAAGAAAAACAAACCAGAAATCAGTCGTCACATCTGAAAATGGACTGAATATCACAAAGCATTCCGACATTATTGTGTCTACCAACAAGTTCTTGTTTAACAATTGGCAGGCGACAGTCAAGCATATCATCGACAGCATTGCTGTCTAGCCGTCTCTATAACGTCTAGCATCGATACCATTAAATTCAAAGTTATATTAATCGAATTCAGCGAATAACTGGGATTCAAGTTAAGAGAAACAATAAAACATTGCTGCTGCAATAAGAGGAATCTTATGTCCAGTAGAGTTTCAACCTCTCGTTGCACTGGAGTATCTCCGTAAATACACGTACCTTTTGCTATTGGGTTTGGACTGAGCGGTGATTTCGTTGACGGTAGAGCCGTGCAGTTGTTGAAGACGTCTGGACAGCAGTCAGGGTCTTTGGACCGGAGACAAAACTCGTCGCAGTAGCACAGGGTGTCTGCCATGGGGGCCGTGCACGTATCATCACGGCCAGCACAGCAGCCTCCTGGCCGTAGCGAGCAGTATTGGGCCCGGGTTGGAATCATCGTCATTAATGGGATTGTAAGTAGGAGAAGACCAAGGGGTGAGGAAAAGCCGGTCATTTTGTTCCGATTAGCTCTGCGGTCCTTCCTGCAGCTGCTTCACAAAAACACCAAGTTGAATTCCCAAATAATACTCCGATTCTGATAGTGCGAAACCTTTGCCCTGAATAACCACCCAAATTAGGCTGAAATAAACTCACCTCAGTCCCCAAAACGAAGTGGTCCAGGTTTGTTCTCATTTGCAATCGACTTTATAATTTCCTAGCCTCCCCCCCTCCAGGGGCCCAAACTTCTGCGTTTTCGTCAAAGTGCAAACATCGGCCCTTTCAATCTAGTGTGCCAGGTTTTTTATTTATCCTGCCTTCGGGGCACAATTCAGGACTTTTTAGAACCCCACTTGAGACGGCCAAAAAAATGAACTCCATGAAATGCACACCGGCTGTATGTGTAATGGCAGATTCAAATTCTCTTTAGAAACACTCAGGGAGATTAACACGTCAACATTCCTGACACTGATAATAATCCCGTGCGTGTAAATTTATATGAAAGCAAAATATTGTTAAGCTATTTTGTTTGTTATCTCGCCTCTCCGCGATCCGTGTGAGGAAATTCTTTCATAAACTGGCCTTCAGAGGAATTAGACCAGCTCAGACTCATGTATTCCAATGCTGCTTTCAAGCATAAAACTATACACTCTGCGGTTTAGGACGAACGGTAGCAAACAACTACGTGCGTACCTTGGGGGCCATGGGAGGGCACTAATGGCGTCATGACTGGAACCTATCACCCAGCCGCTTGGCTCCACTGTCATGATAACAGTCGCCTCTGTCAATACTTAGATAGTCTTCGCAAATATATGAGGTTTTACTACTATCAACGGCCTACTGGAAATCGCTTTGAACACAATAATCGTTTTCTTCATATTACCTGCTAAATATTTTCAAACAGCTTACGAAGAAATCACTGAACGATGATGGAGAAGCATTCTTTATAATAGTCTTCCTTTACTTATTATTCATAAATGAACTATAACTGACTGAACCCAGACCTGACTAGCAAGAGGCCATACCTGACTACGTGTCTGGAGTGAGCAGATTGCTTTGAAAAAAGACCAAAAATAGGCACAGTTCTGGTCAGGATTATTGGAGGGAAAATTCACAGAATACAACCGAAAGTTTAATGATCAACAGCTGTACTTCTTAAAATAGGATACAAATAATTCAAAAGCAATCGATTGTCAATTCTACAACTGGAACAAATAACAGAGAGAAAAGTTGCAAAACACCAACACACCGCCTCATCTCCCCCACTTACCCGTTACTCTCTCTCTCCAGCTCTTATCTAGCTCTCTGCTCAGTATGGTGCACTATCCCGCAGCCAAATATGAACTAGTTCTTACCACACCTTAATGCTTCCTCCGATCTCTCTTTGAAAACACAGCGCTTCCTTCATCACAATATGCAATCAAACGAAACATGCAGCCCTCTCTCCCTGACTCACTACGATGCCAGCTGATTTACGAACTTTAAGCATACAGGCGGCAATGAATATTCCATCAGCCGATAACACGCCAAAGGACAGGACTGTCACATCCCAGCGCAAAGCCTGCACAATATCAAGGTAATCCAAATGTCTTATCAGCACTGTCATACACTGTTACAACAAAAGCAAATACTTGTTTTCAGAATTTTTCAGAAGCCTGTGTATTTTATCATATAAAGAGGCTTGCTTGAAGCAAATAGGCCTACAACTGAAAGATAATCAGTAAGTTTGACAATAAGCAAGACATCCTCCAGTTTTGGACAACAAAGACAAACAAAGGGAGATCCACAGGTCAGGAAAGCTGGAGAATATAGTAGAACCAGTCGGTTTTTCTTTTATAATGGCCATGAACACAATTTACCAAGTCAATAGGTGTGACCTCTAAAGAAAATTCCGGATTATTCCAAGGACACTCCGCCGACATCAGATGAAGACCACTCTAAGCATTACATCTTAGTTTTATTATCTCCGTTTGTTTGTGTCCTTGCGTCTCCTGATCTCAGTTTTTGGCTTTTGCACTGAATTAAATAAATAATCTTGGCTACTGTGTGACGGACTATTAACATCAATGTCAACATTTTAAACATCGATTTTATACTTATAAATATGTTCTTATCCATCAATAACCGCGGCTCTATTACGACACTTGTTATGTTTTTCATAAGATGAATGCAATGCAGTTCTAGGCAAAGAAAAAGGGTGTTTATACCTTTTCACAAGTCTTTTCCTCAAGTCCAATTAGGATGAGCAATGATACAACATTGGTTTGCTTCTCCAGAATAGCTTGAAACTTGAAAATGAGTGACTTGTGGTGGATTTGTGTGATGTACGAGGATCAAGAAGGAATTGACTCTATCACCAGAAGGTATTCTTATCGACTATGGACATGTATTGAGACAACTCTTCGGAATATTACTGATGACAACGTACCGTAGCAAGGTAGTACCTCGCTGCGGTGAGACAGAAATTTGATTTTAAAATATGATTGTGGTCCTTCAATGTTCCCGTAGAATTTAGTACATATGATGTTTAATATCATATGATGTTTTATAACTCTCGGAAAATGAAAACCGGATGACAAATGAAGTAATTCACCAATGAGAAAAATCTCCTGTTTATGGCCGCCAAAACCCATACAGGGTTTTACTAGGTCCGTCTATGTCTCTTCAATGAACATGTTGCAATTTTCAAACATACAATGTGCCATGAATTTACAGATGCATGACCAGCCGCTTTTAAAAACTACAAATATGCACTTGTTGGTATCTTGCACAAGAGTGAAATCAAATGGCTTACCTTGTGTCAACTCAGCTCAGTACTGTTTGAAATCCAGAGCGGCATCGATGATTGTGTGATCAAATACCTTCCCTCGCTCAGTTGAAACAATCCGTACGTAAGCTGTGACAAGTGTGACGCTGATTCAGTACATACATGTGCAACGACCGTATAAATGGTCTCCCATATGTCATGTCAGCACGGACAATCTGCTTGCCAATCAAACAACAACCGAAGGTTACATCAATTTCTTCGTGAGGTTATTTACGAGCGCGTGAGTTATTACCAGTAATTATATTATCCTCCAATGTGGGGACTGCAGTATACGGGAGCTACGGATAGCATTGTGTATCAAGGTTAGAAGGGATGGGTCCCCAAGCAGGTGGTCAATTGCCGACGGTTTTCCTTGATGTGTGACTCTCGAATTTACCAGCTGAGAAACAGTTACAAGTTATGCACAACCACAACGGGGAGTAAATTAAACCCTCGGGATAATGGTTGAGCCGGGTAGCACTCAGTGAAAAGAAGATCTGAAAAGCAGGATTTCTGCTCCGTGGAGCAATCGAACTGAGGTAATGTTCGCCTTTTCGACAACAGTCTTCGATCTCGAAATTTTCACTGAAGTTGACTGTCTCATAATTCTTCCACCACGAAAATTTATTACATTCCGGTTGAAATATGAAAAAATTATAAATCCCACAAGTGAGACAGATTAGTCCCTTGCTACATATCGTAACAGTGCCCTCATTCGATCAAAGTACCTCCGAATTTGTCAACGAGAAGTGTCAGTTAGCGCCCTCACTTGTTAGAAATATCACGCGGTGTGGCCTACGAAGAAAACATATTAAATATGCATAACGCAAAAAGATGACTCCTTAAAATTCATGAAGAAAATACGGGAGGATGAGAAAGAGATAAAGACACGATAACGGTCCGAGGAAGAAGAGCCAATTTGGAAATCCAAGGCAAACAGATCTCATTGAAGCTTATTCAGTGTTGGTAATTTGTGCAATGCGATGGTGTCATGCAATTTGAGGTTCTATGTCCCACTACCATTTAAAAATGTGGCTCAAACCATTCAAATATAATAAATAACAAATTTACATTTTACATTAACCTAAGTTGACATTAAGCTTTAAGTTAAATAGTTTCTTCAGCTAAGTCGCTCAAAAAAAATTGTACCCTGTCGGAATGGAAAGTATGCCACTGTGGCCATGGGATGTCACATAGACATACGCACGTCTGGGCGACGTGACCATCAACACCTGCTCTTCATACCGATGTTAAGGGCACCAGAGAGAGCAGGAAACCCGTAGCAAACATCAAGATGGTGCCCATGGCAACTGTATTAGTTACAATTTCCATGGAAATTACATAAAAAAAACGGGGGATTATATTTCGTAATTTAGTGTGACAAACGGATAAAGGCGACCAAAATATTACTTTCTTAACTTTAAATAATTCGTAAAAAGGGGAAATACTTTTCATAATAGTGATAATACCTCGACAAATAAGATAATCATCAAATAACGATATACTCTCACTCCAAATACAAATCTTCGTCCATTTTCTTCAAAGGACAACCGACTACGAATAATAATAATCCGGGACAGGATTAAATTTCATTCGTCATAATTCACAGTCCGTATTGTAGCTTTGAAATAAATCCTTGTCAGAGGTACGAGATCAAGAGCCGACTTTCCTCAGACGTCTGCCTGCAATTTCCCCGGGCAGTCTTCTCAGGTACGCGTGCTGGCATTGTCTTTCTCCATGGCCCCTGTCAAAAAGCATGAGGTATAGTGTGCCCGAGGGAGTTCAATGGCTCTTCAAGAACAGATCAAAATCAACCTGCATCCAGCCAGCTCGAACCCAGAACACCGCGTGCACTTTAGCTAGGCCAGGGCCGATCGAGGACGCGTCAGCGCACAAAACAGCCCGTCAATGGAAGTGGGACGCGTGCACAGTGTGTCCAAGGCGTGAGTTCTGTGTGCTGTCGTAGACAGACAAAACGTACGGTTAGCTCGTAAGGAAAGCTAGGGTGCGTAGATAGAAAATCAGGGACGTGAGATCGACGTGTTCAACAGAACAGATTGCGGCGAGAGACAGCGTTCCCGAGCAGAGCTCACGTATAATGAACCGTCAGTAACTTCGTTTCCCGCCAAATATTAACGGCATTTGTCACCTTGGAGTGTTGTTTTTCTGTCCCTGCTGACAAGTCACATCGTCGGTCGTGAGGAAGGTAGAGTGGCCAGAACCCCAGAACATTGCTGATAAACATCATCGTAAATTTTGCAACCATCTGGGGGAAAACCTTGCCGCCTAAATGGTAAGCAAATTCGACATTTTGTTTCAATCATGGTTTCAAGCGAGGTTTCGTCCTAAATGATGTGTATGCAACTGAAATCGGTGAAGGATGTTTAGACAGTTTCCAGAATCACACTATGCGGTGCGAAGATGAAAAAAAAGAAAAATGTGTACTTTTATTATTCTTCTAAAAATAAGTTTGAAGTAGTAAACGTCAGACGGGTAAATTTGACATTGGTGTTGGATAATTTGAATTTCCTCTTCATAACCGCGATTGAAGTGCTTATGCTTTAATACATCTGTATCATCCGTGGGCGTTCTAAGCCGTTAGATTCTTTCTTAAAATAGGATGTGTCCTAATGATGAATACATATCACGAAAGGTGATTAGATAGATTCATTAATGAACATAATAAACGAAGCAAATACCCACGCCCTCTTTATAAAGATTGTGTTAAGAATGCCAGAACCTCGTGCATTAGGGTAGGTCCTATGTACGTAAGATTTTTGGTAGAATTGGAAATACAATGGCGGTTTAAGAAAGAATGGATATTACTCTAAGTTACTCGAATAAGTAATCCAAGGGTGGCTCCTTATTATTTGATTTCATTATTTTGGATTGCGATTAAGTGTAATTTCTTGGCCTTGATTCAAGTCAATTAGGGTTTCCTATGTTTAGTTTTGATTTTTTTAATGAACAGCGCTTTGCGGTTGTATTTAACGTTAACGGCACATTACATGATATAAATGTAATGGGTGTCTATAGCAAACCTTTTGTGTATGTTAGGCTTTGAGGCACTGTTACTATGTTGCCAGTCAGGCTGGGATATTTTCTTAATCTTTATAACTACAGACATAATCTGGTCTTTGAATTGCTGGAGTCAGATGTAAAGCTCAGTCGTTTCAACGTATGCATGCGGACAATGCCAGAATTAACAAAACGGTTTGAAGTGGGCAAAGCGCGTGACATGCATGCTTGGAAATCGAGAGATCGCAGCAAGTTTGTCGGGAAAAGTTAGCAAAGTGCCTGCTTTATAAATTGAGTGTTACCGAAATATAATTCTGTCGACGATTTGTGATATCCTATGTCTTCTTGATCTTGGGAAATGTTAACTTCTCTTCTGCTAATTACTCATTGATGTCATGTGATTTCTTTGTCTTTTGCGCGCTATGTAACCGTCTTATTTTCCTGGAGATCCAGAAAAAGCTGAATTGTATCACAAACTTGAATCATGCGTGGTATCCAGACTGATTAGCCCTAGCATAAGAGATTAAACTACATTTATAAAGGCAAAATTACGGAGCTTACAATTGTCAGAATCTAGAAATACAAATATGCGAATGAAATATGCATCGATGGTGATTTCATTGTAAGGAAAATATGGATCAGAAATGTGCACGCTGTAGACCACTTTCTTATCTGTAGAGATTTGAATGGGTTTCTGGCAATTGTAAAAATATGCGTCTGTCGCTGGCTTTAAAGGAATGTAAGCCTAATACAACAAAAACATTCAGCTTATAATCGGTTTACACTTTTTAACAGCTGAATTACGAAGGACAAATGAGTGCCTCCGCATAAATCGTGTCAAACGGATTGAGAAACCGAATACCTATCATTATGTCCAACAACAGAATTATCCGTTTGGAACCTCGCCTGTGTCATGTCGTCGCGTATCCATTTGACGGAATCGATACTGACTTGGAACGGACTGTCTGCTGAACCGAGAAAGTATCGATTCCTTAAAACGATGATTAAGTGTGCAAACGGAGCTCTAGGTACAATGCGCCAGCGCTCCCGCCCCGTCGGGGCGTAATCGTATAACTCAGAACAGATGGATCCTTCTGTAAACAACGCGTGGGATGCAACCAGTAACGACTGAGGCCGATCGATACTTCAGCTATATTCAGGACACTCTACTTTCCTTCGGGTTGTCTTGAATGGACTAAAGTAAAGGCTTCAAGCGGTCAGCTCTGATCTGACGCACTGCCTATGTCCGCCTTAATGCATTTTAAGTCACCTGAAAGCGGCGTGGACCCGCTCATCAAGAATACTATCCATCTCAGTTTAAAGTATTCATCTCTACAGCAGTCCTGCTTACGCTCGATGTCACCTGTCATTCATATAATAAGGGTACACAATATTTCCGATAATAACCTTTTAAATAACAACCCTTTTAGCAGGCTCAAAGGTTCCAAACTGTACTACTGCAATATTGCCTTAACATTCAACTCGCCGCTGGAATCTCTCTCTCATATGTCCATTTAAATACACCGCTCTTTCTGCTCAGAGCCCATCCATGCCATAAAAATGACCAAGTCACTTGCCTCTCTCCATAAAGTGGATTTAAGTTAGATCAAATCTCGAAGATAACCTAATGCCTTGGGGAAAAGACATGTCAAGAAATTGAATATTCTTTCACTCAATACGTCTCGACTTTTATGTTCGCATTAATCCAGCAGACGAGGATGGAGTAATCCCTGACGGTGATGGTCCGGCTCGCAAAGAAGACGCATCTATTTGCATTGTTTTGAGCTGTGATATATATATCCATCCTGCCCACACGTTGGCAATAAATTCTGCCGAACCGCTTTTATACCGAGTGATGAATCAGTTCTGTCGAGCCTTTCCCGTCATGGTTCCCTACCCTCCACGTATGTTTCCCTTCCCATGGGTTCAGGCTGTCGCCAGTTTTAATGGATTTCAAATATAAGCGAGGAGTTGATATTTGGAGAGTCTGGAAATGAATGCAAAAAGGATGACAGGATTTCACCATCTCAATGTAAAAGGAAGCAACGCAAATCGCATTTATTAATTCTTTATCAATATACCCTTTTCCTTACCTCATATCAGAGCTGCGGTTATGAAGTAATTATATAATAAAGATTGCAAATGAATTTAAGCTTTCGCGTAGTAAATATTGGATAGATTGATATTCCGCACAGAAGTTCAGAATAAGTATGGAGCTGTCTCATTCCAGGGAATGAAACATGTCTGATTTAAACACGTACTGCTTATCCTTCACACCAAAGCAATTAATAATTGAAATGTCTTGAGACGGTAATAGGCGACTGAGGTGCGGCCTTTCATGGCAAAAATAACGCCACATGATTTTTCATTCCTGGAGTGATCACTCCTTGATGAATATGGAAGGTAGAAACACATGCTTTCGCTGATTGGAGGGTTAAAAGGTTGAAGTCGTCAGGGATGTCATAACTGTAATGAGGTGACTGTTAGTCTGTGTACGCAGTCGCGGCTGAAAAAAAGGTTCGCCTCGTTCAGTGCAGGGCGAAGCCCAAATATTATAGGTTTTGCAACGACTACAAACAAAATATTTCCCCGCAAAACGGGCGTGCAACATTGTCAACCTGGCATTCTAAAACGAAAATCACGAAAACATATCAAATAACTGAAGGGACTAAGGCTCCTCAACACTGAGTCAATTTCTTTGTATCGCGGAAAGGTTGACATATATAACATCTCAACTTAAAGCTCTCAAAAAGCCTGAAGCGTGAGGCTTTTGTGAAAAATAATTTTCCACACATCAATCACAAATAAATCGAACGCTTTCAACTCAAGGATAATGTTTACAACCACCGTAAACGAACTCAGAATCGAATTATTTTTAGGGATTGGCACTCGCATATAATCTGAAATGAGGTACACGTGCAGTAAATCATGTTGGTAAACTAAATACCTGTATTTCTTACCAATCATTTCAAGTTAAAGATCAAGTTAGTTTCGTGCTTTTACATGACGTTCTTTGTTTGGGTTCTGCAAGGAGCAAAAGGTAATTTTGATTGCATTCTATTATTTTTCAACGACAGAGGTGGCCTACTGTGTTGTGAAGTAAGATACAAAAGAACGTTGCAATACCCGATAACTTGGTAGAAACCTTTTGCTGACGTCAGTTTGGCAATATATTGAGCTAACTATTGCCATTAATATGCGTGAAGATTGATATTGATTGCTTACTGATGTACAGCATCCTCAAACACAAGAAGACGACAATTTCTCTGAAATTACCTAAATCTAACGCAAGATTGAATAAGACTAGATTCAAAACATAAGTCTTCAAAGGAAGTATTAGGAAGGGAAAAATTGCAAACACCTGTCTACTCGTCAGGTGATTTCCTACGGAAGTTGCATAATGAAGTGGGCTATTGGAGGTCTAAGATCAAAGTTCTATCACTTCAACGTTCCTTGAGTTCTACGTCGGGAGTTTCAGCAGGTGAAGTCAAAACGGTAATACCTTCAGACTGAAGGTTTCAAAAGACATTTTCTCTTTAAAACTGTAGATTAATGCTGATGCAGGTATGTCCGGTGTTATGTATTCATAGACACTACCTCCCTGGGAGAAACTCAATCCCCCCCCCCAAATGACGATATTAATTCTCTGCCTGTTATTTATTCAAGAACATTCCACACAAATGCACGCTGATAAATGCTCATGCAGTCTCCGTATTAAACAATTCACACGACGCAGCCGCGGCGCTCAAAACACGACAAATTAAATTCGGCAGGCGCATCGGTTGCTGAGATAAAAAACCTGCGTTCTGTCTCATCAGTGCTTAAATTCTTAAATTACCCTGGGCGGGGTAGATCTTTGAAGGCAGAATATAACTGAACTTTGCCAAATAAGGTATCAGGTTCTTAAGTAGGCTTACTTACAGAGCTTATCTCGCACACCGGCAGGATAAGCATTGAGAAATACCGCAATCTCATAGCTACTTCTGAAGCTCGATTCTTTTCACGATTTCAGAAACAAATACAAAACACACAATAATGGTATAACTGTTTACTAGCACTTACCTGAAGTGAGCATGAGAAAAATTCTGCTCTAGCCTGACACTGAGGATGAATCCTTTTGTATTTCCGACAATTATGCACTGAAAAGTCACACTGAAACAAATTTTGAAGTCAACATTATCAAAACAATATTTTCAGGTCCTCTTGCAGCTTCATACTAAAAATTTGATCAACAGATACACTGAACCCAGGACATTGACAAATATGTGACCCATA